CAGCAGCAGCAGGTAGCTCCTTAGGGAATTTGCAGCTTCACTGGAACCCTCACATGAGGCCTCCCCACACGGTCTTATGGCCGGAGGCGCAGCAGCAGCAGCAGCAGCAGCAGCAGCAGCAACAGGCGCAGCAGCAGCAGCTGCTGCAGTCAAGTGACTTTCTTACTGTAGCTGCTGCTGCTGCTGCTGCTGCAAGGCAGCTGCAAACCTCAGACTGCTGGGGGTTTGTTAAGGGAGAGCCCCCGCTGGCTGCTCCAACGCTCTTTCGCAGCAACAGCACCAGCAGCACAAGCAGCAGCAGCAACAATCACAGCAGCAGCATCAGCAGCAGCGTCAGCAGCAGCAGCAGCCTCGTTTATTTACCCTTGGGAGCGGCGACTCCTTTCATGCCTCTGCCAGGCGGCAGCGGAGAGGAATCTGCTGCTGCAGCAGCAGCTGTTGCTGCTGCTGCTGCAGCACCAGCAGCAACAACCACTGCAGCAGCAGCAGAGCAGCAGCCTGTCCTTGCAGGCGCCGTGACAAAGCACCTGCAACACCTACAGCCAGCAGCAGCAGCAGGAGCAGCAACAACAGCAGCAGCAACAGCAGCAACAACAGCAACAGCAGCAGCAGCAGCAGCAGAAACTCCCTCCTTCTGGATCCCCGCGGAAGCGTGGCAAGAGAAGCTGCTTCCTGCTGCTGCTGCTGCTATTCTTGCTGCGGACACGCAGTCAGCAGCATCACCAGCAGCAGCTTCTGCTGCTGCTGCAGCTCCTGCTGCTGCTGCTGCTAGTACCTCGTGCGGGGATGAGGGGTCGTCAACTGCTGGAAGTACAGAGACCTCTCCTCCAGCTGTTGCTGCTTCTGCAGATGATGATGCTGCTGCTGCTGCTGCTGGCACACGCGGTACAGAAGCAGCAGCAGCAACAGCAGCAGCAGCAGCAGCAGGAGACGCCGGATGTAGCACAGCAGGAGACGAATCCTCCTCGCCGTCTCCCTCATCATCATCATCATCATCATCAGCAGCAGCAGCAGCAGCAGCATCATCATCATCAGCAGCAGCAGCAGCAGGAGCAGCAGCAGCAGCAGCAGCAGGAGCAGCAGCAGCAGAAGGCAGTGTTGGGGGTGCGCACTTAACCCCGTTATTTTCGCTGCGGCAGCTAAGCTGCAGCATTGAGACGGTGTGGGGCCCCCCTGTTGCTGCAGCAGGGGCCCCTGTTTGGAGGCTGCACTTGCATGCAGCTTTATGCGGTGTTGTATTAGCAGGCAGAGGATGGCTGAGAGTCGTTGAAGGAGAGAGAGAAGAGAAAGTTATGTTAACAAAGGGTGCAGCCTTTTGTGTCCCTCCTTTGATTGCGCATCTATTTGCTGCTGCAGCAGAAACGCCGCTAGTGCTGTTCGTTGCTTACTCTCCCCCGCTTACAACGCATGCAAGCAGCAGCAACAGCACCTACTGCAGCAGCAGCAGCAGCAGCAACAGCAACAGCAACAGCACCACCAATAGCACTGGCAGCAGTATAGGCGCGTACTATACAGGCACGCATGCCACCGGGTTGGCTGCAGCTGCTGCGCAGCAGCAGCAGCAGCAACTGCAGCAGCAGCAGCAACAGCAGCAGCAGCAGCAGCAGCAGCTGCAGCAACATCTCGTCCAGCAGCTGCAGCAGCTTTCCTTGCCGCCCATGACGGACACAGGTTCAGCAGAGCTGCAGCCAACTGCAGCAAACGCAACAGCAGCAGCAGAAGCAGCAACCGATAGGCATGACCCTGCGCAGCAGCAGCTGCAGCAGCAGCAGCACAAGCAGCAGCAGCAGCACAAGCAGCAGCAGCAGCACAAGCAGCAGCAGCAGCAGCAGCAGCACGGATGCGACCCTTGGGCCTTTGAAGAGACTGCGGGGCCCCCATAGGGTTGGCTTTTAAAGCTGCTGAGGTGTTGGAGGATCGATCAGCAGCAGCAGCAGCAGCAGCAGCAGCAAATGCAGCAGCAGCAACAAGAGCAACAGGTGCAGCGGCAGCAGCAACAACAACAGGTGCAGCAGCAACAGCAGCAGCAGCAACAGGTGCAGCAGCAGTAGCAGCAGCAGCAGCAGCAGCATCTGCTGCTGCTGATGCTGCTGTTAAGTGAATGGGGAGAGGGTTGTGAGGAGACAGGAGACAGCTGATTTGCATGTGGCGTGTGTTTGCTGTTGTTTGTCTCTATCTGCTGCTGCTGCATTTCTTGCTGCTGCAGCGCATGCAGCTGCTGCTAGGGTGTATATACACCTGCATCAGAAGCAGAACACAAATGCACCGTCTACAATACAAATTTGTTTATTTATATAAGTATATATATAATATATATAATATGTATAATATATATATATATATATATATAATATGCAGGGGCCCTCAAGGTGTTGCTGTTTGTTTGTTTGTTTGCTTATTTATTTATTTCTTTCTTTGCTTTGTTTGTTGGCTTGTTGGCTGGTGTTATAATAATAATAATAATAATAATAATAATAATAATAATAATAATTGATATTATTATTATTATTATTAGAAGCGTGAGGAGCTCTTCTGCATGCATTTGCATGCATTTGCATTTGTTGTTAACGGAGAGAGGCGTTTGCTTTTTGTTTGTCTGTTTTGTTTCTAGCGGTTTCTTAGCAGCAACTGAGTTGTAGCAGAGTATAGAGATATATATATACTATATATATATATATAGTTATATTTAATATAGAATGTAGCATTATTACATATATAATATTTATAGTTTACATATATAATATTTAATACATCCATATATTATATAATACATTATATTATATATATATAAAGAATATATATTAAAAGCATATTATATATCTCGCATGCAGCCCCAAATGCTGCTGTACAGGGCCCCATGTGGTGTATGCATCAAATAGCGCTTGAAGCTGCTTGGGGATTTATATCCTCAGTAATAAAAAATATACAAATAATATGATGTTCTTATTTGTACCGCCGAAAACATAAAAGAATGTATATATATATATATATAAAGGACTAGTATATGTATATATATATACATATATACATATATATATATATATATTATATACGCATATGTATGATCTATATTAGGAAGATATATATAAATACTAATAGTTACATGCATATATAGATGCAAAGAAAATATATATAAATTTTAATACATATAAATATTTATATATATATTTATATATATTAACAAAGGAGCCGTGCAACAACTGCTATCCTTTGTAAATAATGCGTTAAGTGTAGGTTTGTTGCAAATATTTTTCTAAGTCCAGGCATTTAAACCGCAGCATTTGAATTATGCATGCGCAGTTTTCTGTGATTTTAATTTACTTTTCACGAAGATGAATGAAGCCCAAGAAAATTCTGTTTGTTTTTTTAGTTGTAAGCGCTCGGTGGTGGAGCTGCAGGGGCCAGGGGAGGCAAAAGAGAGGGAAATTGAGTCTGTTTTATTTGCTATTAGGTGAATATACACTTGAAAAATGTACTAATTAAATGTAGGTGTCTGCAACGTCTACAGAAATAATGCTGCATATACACCCCAGCACAGCAGCAGAGTAGCGGGGGGCCCCGTCGTCGTTCTTTGTTTGCCGCTAGGGGGGCCCTGAAAGAATTGGAAGTTTATGTTTGGATCTTCAGCAGAAAGAGGGAAAATATTCATATTTATTTATTAGTTATGTCCCTACAACTTGCGTTTTTTTCTCAAAGACGTTACGATTTTTCCTTAGCCTCTACTCTTTTTGCAGTAAACGCAAGACTAACCTGATCGGCACTGTTAGTTAAAGGCACTATTGCAAGAATAATAACTTTTCTTCATATTTCCCTGCTTATAGATATTCATGGGGCTTCAAATAGTCAAAGATCATGTAAGAAACCTTATGATGATGTCGGGTGTATCGGCAGCTCCGGGTCGCGCACGCCTGGTGATGCGTTGATCCACTGTGAATTACCATTTAGAAGAATTTAAATTCTTATTTTTGCATATTTCATCTCGAAATATACCGGGTGATTCAAAGAAAAATGAAATTACTCCAACTTTCCCCACATCTTCGAGAAGCTTCCCGCCTCAAGCCATGTGCATAATTTCGTGATGATTTTGCAGTATTTGTCTTCTTCTTTCGCTATTAACCCAAAGTAAATAAATTTATGACTCCATTTCGTAATTTTCTTCCATTTTTCGCTTCATAGAGCCGTCGAATGCCGCTGAATTCTAAGGCCGATACACCAGAACCTGAACGACGCATGCAGGTTTTGTCTGGCGCTGGTTTTGAGAAGTGGAGTTATATTTTCATCGAATTCAGCACCCTGAGCACCTCTCTGTTGTCTGGAGAACATGGAGACGGAGGGTTCTGCAGCAGCATCTGCTGCAGCAGCAGCAGCAACAGCAACAGCAGCAACAGAACAGGGCCGTCAGGGGTCTTTGGGGAGCCTTGCTCTGCGGCTAGCGATTGGAGGCCCCCGACAGATGCGTCGAAGCGGCGGTGTTTATGTCTGTACACCTGGTCGGGTGTATGTACAGTGGCAGCAGCGGTGGCTGCTTCTCGATGGTTTTATGCTAAAATGCTTCAGCAGTTGCAGCTCTCTGAAGCCCAAAATTACTATTCCCCTCGACTCTGCAGTTGTAGAAGGTAAATCTACGGTGTATAGGCAACTATACGAGCATCACTAATGAAATATATACATGCATATATACACAGCAATATATATATATATATATATATATATATATATATA